TACTGTGATGCACCAGAAAGCATTATTATGTGTGCTTTGTGAGAAACACTAAAACCTCATTATTGCAACTCATTGTTGCTGATTCAAATCAGATTTTGGTGTCTGTTTAGTCAGTTTGCTTTCATACTCAATTTTTTATGATTCTCTAAAAATATATATTCATGTGCTTTGTTCTGCCCAGTGAATATTTCTTGCATGTGGTATCTTGTTTAGCTTTCTGAATGCTGCACTACTTTTTTTTTTGTCAAAACAGAATGCTGTTTGGGGTGCTTTTTTCTGAAAATAAAGCTTGTGATCTTAAAAATGTTTAACAGTGAATTATTTCATTCAGGTACAAATAAGAATCCTGCACAAAATACAGAATCCCATAAAGAAAGAAATTTTTTCCTGAGCTCTTTTATTCTTTGCTTTTATTGGTCTTCAACTGTTGAAAGATATTTTTTTCATTTTATTTTATTTCCAATCCTAAACCTGGCACAGCTAAATACCAGGCTTGTGTGTAATAGGTGTCTTCATCTTTTTTAGGACACTGCTTACTGTTTGTGGTTTCATCTGGTATAATACCCCAGCAAAGAACTGAGCGGGTCCAGCAGGTCCAGTCTGAGGATTTGATTTTTCATTTATGCTTGTGTGAAAGGTTTCTTCTCTTTTAAAACCAGCCTCTTTTGTATATATCTCACAGTGTATGGAGAGACCTCAAAGTTAAGTAAATACAACAAGTATTTCCAGTTTGAATTCAGCTTTACATAGAATAGAAAGAATCGGGACAGGAAACTTTTAGCAAATTTTGGTTGAAAAGATGGAAAAATTGGGCACGCCCTTCAAATTAATGAAATACGGTAAAACAGATACTTTCATGTGTGTGTGCTTATAAATATATAAATGTACACATGCCTGCAGACACTCAGAAATGTGATCATTTTACTCAGTTTCCTAAATTGAAAAAGAAGAGAAATAGGTAATTTTGGAGGACTTCATTTTTATTAATAATATGATTTTTTTTTTTCAATAGCATTTAAAGTCATTACACATTATCTTTCATTCTAAACATGTCTTTGACAATCATGGTGATTTTTAAACCCATGCTTTTTCTGAAGATAACATCAGTATAAACCACCTACATAAAGTAAAATGCTAAACTAGATGTTCTTTTGGAAGTGGGATTTTACATATAGATATATTTATATATATACATAGATTTATACATATACATATGTAAAATATATTTTTATATTATATCTAGATCTACATATATGTAGATTATATATAAATTTTGTATAGATACAAAACATATAATCTACATATATGTATATAATCTACATATATGTCGATTATATATAATTTTTTTTATGTCAGTCGAGAATTTTTAGGGTGTCTTTAGGTGCACAGTAGGGAGTTCATTATTTTTCATTCACATTATTGGAAGTGAGAGTCATTCAGAGCCGAATAATTATAACAAGGTAAGACATAGAAGGCAGCAGTGGTTGTGAGTATCTCTGGAGCTGGTTGTCCAGCTAAAGCATGCCACAGGCTGATTAAAATCTTTGAAAGCTTGCAGCCTGGATGGGACACACCAACTTCCTCTTAAAACCCTTCAGCATTATCAGTATCTATCTGAGTTTGTAAAACAGTGTATGTGACACTATTTCCAATCCTTTTTAGCTTTTCAGTGAGGCTGCTTCCTTGTCTCTGGCAAGAACATAGCTTTTATTTCCCTTCTTTTTTGCTGAAGACTTGAGCAGTCTTTGTTGCCTTCCAGTAAAAGGAAAATTTTGCATAGATGTCCATGCTTTTTGGGGAAAAGGCCATTTACTTGATAATTATGATACATGTTCAGTCCAAATCTGTACTCGGCTAGAGTAAAACTGGTAAGATTCCCTGATCAAGCAATATGTCAGGCAGCCTGTCAATCTGATCTACTTGCCAGCACATCTTTTGGGGTGTCTTCATACCTGACAATAAAGAGTTGTTACTCAGCAACTCTTGAGGAAGTTTTCAGAAAGGTCTAGAAGAGGTCAGCTTAGTAGAAAACAGGATGATGGAGAGAAGCAGAAGTAAGAACAATTTATTCTTAAAGTTATCCAAATTACATAAAGATCAGGTACTCTTGAAAGATCTGTGTAAAAATGTGGCAATGACAGCCAACGGAGCATGAGAAAAGAGGTCAAAATGAGTAAATAATAGTGTGCTCTCACTGGGAATAATGCCACTTCTAGTCTCTCCTGCCTTAAATTGGCTATGGTAAAACACAGGAAGAATTTACAAAAGAATAATGAGGATGTTTGAGGGCATGCAAGAGCTTACATGAATGAAACAGGTGAGTAAAATAGGGCTTTTAAAGATTAATGAGCTGACCAAGAGGAGGATGTTGTAGATTAGGAAACCAGGAGGAATGTTGTTCCTTTCATGTTCCTTTCAGAAGTAATAGCAGAAGGAGGAGAAATTCACTGTAAGGTAGAAGGGGTTGTTCTTTCTGCTGAAGAACCAACAGAGCCAAGAGGAGGTAACATTTCAGAAAATGCTGCAAGAAGTGAGAGACACAGCAAGGCTGGAATCTAGCAGCTCAAAGAAGTTGCTCAGAGAAGCATGGATTAGTCGTGTGAGTTGAGGCCTCAAAAGTGGCAAGAAGAAACTTAGAAGGACAGAGAAGAATGACTCAAGTCCAGTGCAGTTAATGTAGGGCTTAACTGCAACTAAGCAAGGAAATAAGGATCTCCTTGAAAAATAACGTAGGTAGGAAAATACTTTCCTTTCTCATTCTGTCATTTCCAATCACTTTGAGTTTGCCATATTAGAGAAGTTTAAAACTGATTTTTAGCAATGATATCAAATGGTAAGATTTTTTCTAAACAGCTTTGTCTCCCAGTCCCGAAATTTTGCAGTCCCATCAAAAAACCCCAAACTATAATGGTGTGCAAAAACAATAAATCACTGTGAAAAGCTGAAGAGAGTTAACTGTCATCTGCCTGTTCCAGTATAAGACATCTTGGAAAACAGTTGAAGTGGCTAGACCAAAACAAACAATACTGGGTGGGGGTTTGCTGGTTTTTTGTTCCCAAACGGTGTGCAGTTAAGCTGCAGATGCCCTTGCCACAAGATGTTTTAGGTGTTACCATAGGATGTAAATCCACTCATAGCTAAAATATAGGCATCACTGCTGGCTCAACTCTCCACAAGCTGGAGTCTGAAAGACTATCTGTGGAAGGCAGCAGTGTATTTTCTCCTTGGCTGTTCCTATTGGACACAATAAAAGATGCCAAAGCCCTTTGGCCTGATTCAGTACAGTACTTCTGTTTACCTACTGCTTCCACCCAAGTGTTCTTGGAGAGGTCAGTCCATCTCATGCTGCTGCAATATAGACTGGAACCTGTTCTGCCAGAAACCTCCAGATGGGCCAATACAAACTCCAATTCCCTTGTATGCAGAAGAATTTAGAATGATCAAAAAAATTAGATGATGTTTCTAGATAGTCTTTGTGATATCAAGCAAAATACTTCAGTGTGATTACAGTTCCACGAATTATGCACTCATGCTGTTCTCAAGTTTGATTTTCAAAAGTGATGAGCAGTGATACCACTAGAATACCACATTGAAGTGTTCTATAAATGCTCTAATTCCAACTTAACACGTCCTTGACATTTTAGATAGGTACTCATTTAGTATACAGTTTTGAACCTAATCTTTCCAGGTCTTCCCTATGAATAAGTAAATAAGGTGATATTATCCTCCTTGCCTCAGTGAGATCAAGAGAAGAGTTGTAAGGAATTGTAAAAGTAAACAGTTTTTCTGCTCTGTGTACAGAGTGTGACCAAGAAATGAACAGTCCAAATCTGCACTTGAAGAGTTTGGAGTACATCAAGTTCCAAGGCTGAAATACAGGGATAGACTTGGTACTCAAAGCTTTTCAGCTTCTGAGTGTGATCATCAAATACATTAAAATAGAATATTTTGTAAAAAGGCATTTAACATGGTAAATTTATGTGATTGTGTAAGAGTATATTGCAGTGCATGGAAACTAAAGCAGCCCAAGTTGAATAAGAGGTTAGATTTTGTTTGCTTTAATTTTTGATGCTGTATTTAAATTTTAAATTGTATTCCAATGTGTTTGCAGATTTTGGTTATTTCTTTTGCTTCATTTCCTAATTAGAAGACATCACAAGTTCAGTCTGAAGATGAAACTTCATTAATTAAGATTTCTGAATTTAGCAGCTCAATTGTTTCAGGGTAAGGTTGAAGAAATTCAACTTTTAATTATTTCATCTATAACTATCAGAAGTAGGAAAAGAAAAACGAAAAGGAAAGAAAAAATATTACATTGCAATATGGAGGTATCAGTGTTCATGTAAAGTCTCAGTTGTAGACTTTATTAATGCTTCTTTATATATTGCATTGCATAATTTAGTCAGAGGACTTTACTCCTTTTTTTTTTTTTTTAGGTCTTACTAGTCCTTTTGAAGAAATTTGTATGAAAAAAAGAAGAAAGGGTAGAATCCTTCATCGTTCTAAAAGTTAAACAGCTTTCCAGAAATTATGTATTACTCACAATGCACCATATATAGCTTAGTAAATCATAGATACATGGCATATCTTTTTTCCAGCTTTGCCTTTTTTTTTTTTTTTTAATTTATTTTTAACATGTGACATCTCCAAGACAATTCTTACTGTCCCATGCAGGACAGGCAGGTGTAAATCTTGCTGGGTTTCTTCCTAGAAAAAGAGATTTCTTATGTGAAGTTCTTTGGATGTAATGTGGATTTGAAAATATATTAAGAACAACAGGTTACCCTGTTCAGTGGAGGAAGGGAGCTGTGTGAAGGAGCAGTGCTGAGCCATGTGCTGAACAACAGACATAGGGATCCTTGGAGCCTTGGACTGTGTGACAAAGCTTCAGCAGCACAGATAAGGTTGCAGGGGTGTTGAAAATTAATAGAGACGTAGCTGGTGTAGCTGGAGTGACAGAATCCTTGTCATGCATACAGCACTTGGAGGAAAAGCTGTAGGAGGAAATCCATATTCAATTCACCTTCACAGACTCAATCAAAGTATTTTGGCAGAAAGCTACCTCCTGCCAGCATACTTTAATTTTTAAGGACTCTTTCAGCACAGTGTTCTGGTATTCCTATGTAAGATTAGTTGTGGCAGATGAGCTTGGAATCAGAACTTAAAAGCAATGCAATTAATCATTATTGAAAACTTGTCTTCCTATTCCTTATTTAAAATAATTACTAAGTTTTTGTGGATTTTTTTCATCTGTGAATTTAGTCATTGGAGAATAATTTGGCTTCTTCTGACAGCTTGTGACTGATGCTTTGCAGGGAGGAAAAAAAGGATTTTTTATAGTTTCTAAAATAACTCTGGTCTCATGTTTTCAAGCCTTTCACTTTATTAACGTTTGAGTGATTTAGCTTCTCATCATTTGGGTTGCTTCTTAAACCTGAGAAAAATGGGAGATATTGAGGAAGATTTCCAGTAGAAACAGAAAAATAAAAGTACTAAATGGGTGGTGATTCTCCCTCACATGACCAGAAGGAAAACAAACTGTTTGGCTTTTGACCGTGCTTGCTACTAAACACCCTGTCATAGTGTGTGAGGTGAGTCACGACTTGTTTATTTATAGCCATGGCCAATCAAAGCCAACTGCTCTGAACTTCATTCAAGACCAGCAGCTCTTAGAATGTCTTGTAAACATTTGCTCTCTGAGTAAGGAGCATCTTCCTGGCAGCAAGCAGCACAGGTGCCTGGATGGTGGCTCCTAAAACACAAAACAGACTAAAGATTGTTGCCTGGATTTTCTAGATTGGTAGAGAGAGACTGAGAATTCCCTTTCACATCTGAAATGCCAGACAGTGAGGATCTGGGACAAGATGACAGGTACTGTACTTTGCTTGTGCTGGCCTTCCTGTGCAGAGCAGCAAGGACTGAGACTTCATGTAATTAATCTGTGTGTGCTCCTGAGTGCTCAGCCTGAGATCAGTTTTCTCTACGTTGTAAATGATCTTCTGCTTCTTGAAGGCTTTGCCTCTAATTCTAACCTTCTCAGAAGGGAAGTGTGAGTCTTAATGTCTGATAGAAGGTAAATGGAACAGCTCTGAGATACTTCTTAAAATGAAGGTGAAGGGATGAAAATAGTGTGGTTTCTACCTGGTCACTTTTTCCTTCAAAGCCTCAATATGTCAGGCACAGAAGTAATTTTGTTGGAGCTGTGCTACGTACAGAACATTAACTCATTTCTGTGAGATAGGGACTGGGTCCATCTGAGGACTGACAAAACATTAACTCATTTCTGTGAGAAATGACAAGCAAAACTTTGAGGTATGCCTGTCTTTCTGAAGTTCTGCTTTTCTTTTAATTAGCTGATAAAACAGGACCAAAAAAAAAGTTATTAGATCCAAAACTTGGCAACAATTTTCAAAATACTGTTTTTCTCAAATATGATCCAACACATTCCCATTAAATAAATGCCCTAATTAAATTTAACCAAATAGTTTTTAAAATAGATATTTGAAATGTAGGTGTTACTGATGTTTGGCTATGACACAGTTTATAATCTAGATTTCTTAAAGTCCACATGGTTTTTCCAAAGGCTTGATGCTAATCAAAATGTTGACTCTAAAATGGTGTTTATGAAATATTTTATGTTGTAGAAAGAGTATTTGTCATGTATGTAGAAAGAGATGCTTTTTAGAAGTTAGTGAACAAAATGCCAAAATACAGAGTCAAATCTAAGAAATTCTGCAACTACAGGGATCAGAATCAGGCATTTCATTATGACTTTGGGTTTGATTTTTTCTAGTTAAATTTAAATCTAAACTTTAAATTTATGTGGTTGTTTTTCCAGTATATTTGTCAGTGTGTTGGGAGATGAAACACTGGAGATAGTTCTGGTTGTCTGTTTTAGAGCAGCACATTCAAGCACGGCCCCCTAACTGGATGAGCGTGGGTGAATGGATCCCCAGGAGCAATTGGGTCTCTGCTGGGGTGGAGTCACCTACACATTCCCGTTTGCAGGGATATTGACATAGATTACAATTAATTGTAGTTGCAGGTAGCATTTTTTCTTCTCTTAAGGAAATGTTGACTCATTACTGATAATCACCAAAGGACTAATTGCTCTTCTTCGAGAAATGTTTGGTGAGGGCTCACTTTATTCAATTGTTTATTTTTTCAGTAAAGAAATCTGGAAATATGTGTGATTTCTTAAAAAAAGTTTTCAGCTTTGTAATGATATCTAATTTATTTTGTTTGTAATTCTTTCTCTATAAAGGCTTGCAACAAAATTTGGCAACTAAACAGAAGGCCTAAGACTTTAAAACCTCTTTTTCTATCAAAGTTGAGAGTTTTTGTTTTGGAAGAAAAAAAGATAGCTTTTCTAAAGCAGTAACCTGGAAAATCATAACTGAGCCTGCTCTGCCTATTTACCATTTTTGAAGCTACTATTAAATTAACTGACCCTGATGTTCATCCCTCATCCTTCTGTGTCTTCCAATTTATTTTTCTGAAATTAATTTGCCTTTTTGTCTTGGTCATAACAAATAGGATATAACTGGAGAACATGGCTAAAGAAGTGCTAATGAGGCTTGATGGAGGTCAGAATATTTTGGTCCAAGTTAAACGAGGGAATAGAAGGAGGAGCTATGGGAGCTGTACAGGAGCAATTAATCTTACCATTTAAAAGGAAGAGATTGTAAATGTACAAATAATGGTGCAATTTTACAGGCACACTGAATCAAAGCTTCAGTTTGTATGCATTTAATAAGGGAGAGCAATAGCATTTTTGTGGAAGGTCCAGAATGGGCTTTGATCCCTGATTGGTTTCAGTGCAGTGCCCTCCTTGTAGGCCCTTCTCAGATGCAATTACTTCTTATATCCTCTCTCCAAGTTCATGTTCTACATCAGAAAATATGTACTATTGTGTAACAAGTGTACTTCATGAACATTGTTACATCATAGTTAAATATGTGGCATTGGTCAATACTCTCTTAGTCATACTGCAAAATAAAATGAAAAATAAACAAAGGAACAGATGCACAAATGCTTCTTAGTAAGGCTAGCCAAAAAGTGAAAGTTTTGAAGACATGGGTGGTCACAGATGAAGAACAGTGAGGAAACACATGGTCACGGGTAGAGGATTGAAAACAATTTAGCATAAGGAGATATCTTCCCTCAGTATTTCTTTATCATTGGGTCCATTGCAATTTTGGTGTAAGACAGTATGATTTTGTTTTTTCTTGAAAAATGACATTTTGTGAGGAATCTAATGATAGTCAAGAATGTATAAAAGACACTGTGGATATTGGTCCTGAAATGGTGTAAACATTTGGCTTTAGGAACTCTCAGTAATGCATCAGAGTAGTAAGGGACAATGTCCGTTTACAAAATACCTTAAAACCCATGGAAAAGGGTCAAAATGAAGTTGTGCACAGTTCATCTTGTTAGGTAACACAGAAAATAATTAAAAATATTCTTTGCCACTTGAAAATACAGGGTGGGTTTTTTTTTTGTTTTTTGTTTTTTGTTTTTTTTTTTTGTGCAGCTGTTCTACACTTCAGGGAATACTAAGGTCATCTTTCCTAGCTGTTTGACTTTGAAAGGCCTTGAGCTAGGAATATCCCAGCTGAAGAATGTGGAAGCTGTGAAGTAGCAAAATAATTGATTTTGTGAAAAAGCACTACAAGAGTTTTCTTTGCAAAAGAAAAATAATTCCAAAATAATTGCTTCCAACAGCTGGGCAGATCTGCTTAAAGTTCTGCAAATGGAACTTTATGGTCTTGTTGCTTAGCAAGGAGTTTCCTTACTTTTCTGAACAAAAATCTCTCTTGTGTTTGTAATCGTTACAAATGGGAACCTGACCTGAAAGATCCCAGCCTTTGGACCATCTTGGTAAAAGGGCAATAGCACACAGTAAACAGCATTATAGTCTTTGCTAAACAGAAAGCAAGTCAATAATAGTATTTACATGGCACTGAAACACTCTGTTCTCATGCAAAGAGAACATTAAAAATCTTAATGATTTAAGTGATGAATTTGGACTAATGACACTTGACTGTCAGATGATGCTTTGAGTGCATCTAGTAGCTGTTGTTCAGTCAAGGGAGTTGGGCAGGAGGAGTACAGGTCAGAGGAAGGGTTTCCTGTGGGAGCTGGCCTGCCAGTCTGCTCACCAGAGTCTGCCCAGAGGAGCTCAGCTTGGAAATGCCCCCATTTAGCTGGAGTATATTTTGTTTGTCTTAGCAGGACATTCAGCAAAAAGTGACAACACTTAATCCTGTCTGCTGTATTGAGGAATTTGTATACTGGAATCACCTTCAAAAAAAGCTGGAATTAACCAGTTTGTGTTCAGTCAGCTGAAGAAATACAATGCAGCTCCTTATTAAGACATCATAAGTTGACTGATGTATTATACCTGAATAGAAGAGATGAACACATGCCCTCCAAAATAAAATCTTAGTAATGGGTCATTTTTTTCATTTAAGCAATCTGTTGGACAAGATGAATTCCCCTGTCTCTTTGAAAAACACTTCAGTGTATTTTTAAAAGTTTGCTTTCATTTTCTGAAAACTTTATTCTCTACTAGTAATATAAGCAAAAGCTACCTTAATTTGTTGAATTAAGATTGTTTAGCAGGACACCAGTGGTAAAATGCTTCTGTGTCAGTTGAAGAGCAGAAAATATAATTATGGCTTTGGTTTAACACTCTGTGCAAGGAGTATATAGAGTAAGGGATGTCACATGGCCCTACCAATCTGCTATGCAGTCAAATGTGAAAGGCATATTGAGCCTCATCAAATGCTGATGATTTAAACATATTTCTTTTACAGTAATATTACAAAAAGTTCATCTTAGTCAGGAAATAAATGGGGGAAAGCTGTGAAATAAGATATTTTTTCAGCTTTTTATTCCACACCTTCCCTTGGAAATAAACCAAAATAGGAACAGCAAATTGGACTGATACACTGTTAATAAAAAGCACAAAATTGAAGTGTCAGATGCAGATAGACAAGGCTAGGAAGAAAACACTTTTAAGAGTTTGAGAAGCAAGATACACAGCATAACACAATTCATTTAGTTCTTACAAACAATGTATTTGAAGTACTGGAGGTATGATAATTAGAGGAGATTTTTAGATTGAGAAATGTTAGCTACTCTTTAAGGCTAATAACTATATTCTCCAGCTTCAATTTAAAAACGAGATCTGTGTCTATATCTTAGAGATTCCAAGGGTGCCAAATCCTCAACATTGAAGGGATGGTTGAGTGTGATCTGTTAAAGGATGTTAGCCACAGTACCACATGTTAGCCTAAATCCGTGCAGCACCTGTGGATTAGCAATGGGAAATAGGGTGCATATGGATATCTACAAGCTGAAGAGATTTCTGTTAGAAAAGCTTTGCAATATTTGGAGCAAAAAGGTGGTATATGAAAATTCTCCCTGAAGTCTAAGAATGGAGTATATTTGTAGATGCATCATGTTTTTGCTTTTTCTTTTGTGGAAGTCTTTGATGCAAGGACAATTTTACATGGTAACCCAATGATTCATTTACATTGCAGGTCTTGTTAACTTGGTCATAGCCACATGACACAAATATAATTATTTTAGTATACTTAATGATTGCATAGGATCCAAAAGTGGCACAGGATAGAGCCCAGTTCTACATAGTCACATTTAAAATTAGCCACATAGGTCATTAGGATGCTGTGCTGTGAGTTCAGTAGTGCTGGTCATTCTGTCTTTTCACATAGTCCTCATAACATCCACAAATATGTTACATTGTGTGTCTGTAAGGCTAATCAATAGTGCATTGTGTTCCACCACAGTTTGATAGTAGCTTTTAGAGGTTTTCCCATTGGTACTTTAATATACTTAAATGTGAA